GAATGATCAAAATTATCAGCGACTTTCTGGATTCTCCTTCCAAAATGGCACTCATCTCACAACAATACGTATATAAAGAAACGATGCTGATATTATGGGGACGTTTTCAATTGTCTACAATTTATAAGATCATCGTATTCATCAGTTCACCGATTAGTCGAAGGCGATCTTACCTTTCCATATTCAGTTCATTCCAAACGGACGTTATCCATATAGCTTTTGGTCTCGTTCATGTATAATGTGGCTGTGGATGTGCAATTGGAAATGCTGGATGAATGCGCATCAGGAAAAAACGATTTATTTATAAATTGAGCATCGAACTTCGAACCTAACTTCTTGTAAGATCAAAACTGGTAGTTTAAGACCAAAAATCAGTCATATGAATACTTATAATTGCGTTGTTCAATCGCGAGCGAATAACTAAAATTTTAGTTGAGATAATTCCATCAACCTCGCTCGTGATTCCGCTCATTGGTAAATACCTTCTGTTCACAATGGTGCTTGTTACACTCTCAGTTGTTGTGACCGTTATTACTTTGGTCTGTTTTCTGCTTCTTGCATTGTTTCATTCCAATTTGTAGAATGAATGAGCGATATGATAATGAACGACGGACGTATCGCTCTATTATCTTACTAATTTATTTACTCTACATCAATTCATTACTGTAATTATTGTTACGATCACTCTTCTTGCAATGACCCTCAGTAGCATTGGTATTATCGAAGATGTTATTATCAGTATTGTTTTAGAATGTGCATTATCGCACACCCACTACACATACAATGCCGAACTGGGTGAGGCACTTTTTTATCGAGTTATTACCGAGATATTTGCTGATGGAGAGACCGACTCCTGCAAAAATCGGTACTCAGTTATTGAATGATGTTAAAAATGCGGTTCGTTTTTATTTATTTTATTTGTTGTAATTTTTTATTATTCTTTTTTAGTTTTTATCAGTTTAATGATGAATCTTTGATTCATTTCAGTCAATATCACTTTCGTTTGGAAATGAGAGCATAGCAATAGCCATCATTTTCATCTGAAGTTTTGACCCTAGTTAACGATCGAATTTGCATTATTATCTCGTTGTTGTTTTATATTATGCTTAAACAGTATTCAAAATGCAGTACTCAATACGTAAAATATTGATGTATAACTGAAAGAGTGTAATTGAAAATTAAGAGGTTAATTGCATATTTCTTGAATGACACGATTATAATTCGAGCATAAGCATAGAAGAAACTGATAGTGATGAGAACAAATTCGACTCATTACTGCTAGAATTTCAGTTGGTCTTACCGAAAAAATCTGATGCACGAATGCCGAGTTTCAGCGTGCGACCACTGGATCATTACGCCTCGGCGCTTTCTGATCAGGTTTTGTGATCGCTCGAAATATTTGCTTTCAGTTGAAAGTTTCATTCGCATTTGGTGATGTATCAGCTCAATAGAACGCCAACGAAGAGGAAATGTAAATTTTGAGACGTAAACTTAAACTATAACGAAGATCTGAACTAGTAATGGGTCAACGTAATTAGTGATCAGTGAAGCAAAAATAAATGGATTTGTAAGCGATATGAATGAATAAAATGACTGTAAAATAATGAATAGCTGTGAATGCAATAATCAGTCAAGAAATGCCACTTCAGATGGACTATTTGTCACCAGCATATCGCCAGTCATTCTCGGTGATCTCTCAAAAGAATCAACATCGAGCGAGCTACACGAGCACCTTCAATAAGGATTATACACCGATGCGTAGTGCAATCGAGAGTGTCACCTATGTTGCGGATTACCTGAAAAATCAACAAGATGATAATCAGGTACAATTCTCGCATTATGTCATCATTATTGCTATTGTTTTCACCATATCATATTATGATTATTGTCATCAGTACCGCTATTATCATTTTCATTACTGCTATTATTTTACGTCTAATTGGTTCTATTATCGAGAATTAAGACTGAATTTTGTTGTATTTTATATAGTTTGCTCAAGCTAAGAAGATATGAAATAACAATATTTACGGTATAACCAACCTAAATCAAATTATTGCACATATACAATGAGGACGATGATGGTTCTACTGATCATAGCATTAATTATATTAGGAATAGGAATAATGATAATGGTGGTACGAACAATATTGATAATGACAAGAGTGATAATAGACTGGTACGAGTATTTTCAGATAATAGAAGACTGGAAGTATATCTCAGTGGTGATGGACCGAATATTTCTATTCTTGTTCACGGCTGCATGCGCATTCGGAACGGCATTCATCATACTGCGAGCACCTACAATCTATGACACGACCGTTGCATTGGCCTAGTATCACTTGTTTTGTGTATTGTATTCAAATATGTTTCATATGCATATTGTCAGAATAATAAAGATGTTGTGTAAATAAATCGCTAGATGAATTATGAACTCATGTTGAATATTGTTCATGATGTTCGGTGTGGCTTAGAGGATCGTATTTTGAGTTGACTGGAAAATTTGATGAAACTTTCAGTTTTGAGACATTTGCTGAAATTTTCGAAAAGTTTTTTGGTCATTTCCCCAAGCAGCCAAGAAACAGTCTTCTTATTGAACACGAGGTGA